TCAGATAAAATTATAACTACCACAAATATAGAAAGAGCAGTTTACTGTTAGATAATTGTAATAAAATTTTTACAAAATATACAACTACCAGTCATTAGGAACGTATTAGGTTTGATATTTAATGGCAAGAATTTCACTTTGTTTTAATGAAGTTTAATTCTGCATCCTCTCGACGCATTCACCGACTAACAGCTTCAATTATCGCGTGAATAATAGAATTGTTCCTTATCACAATCGACATCCCGCGAGCTCATCTCTCAGTTTACACAATTTTAACGCTGTACTCTCTATTTCTAAGCTATTTGAATGCTCCGATTAGAACGACCCGTGTCCGATCCCCGTTATAATTCTCAGTTCGATGACCGAACGAGTCTGCTAGACGCACGCATCGAATTTTCAATCGTATAATAACCTCGAGTAGCCCAGTTCCCCGGCGCGGCACGCTCGTTATGAAATCTCCCCATAATAAACGAGTGCCGTCCCGCCTCGTTATTAAAATGCCGACATCGACGACGAAGCGCGGCCGGCGATGCGGCGAGAAGAAAACCGCAGCATCTCAAGTGCATGCTACACTTGCCTAATCGCGCGACCGCAAACAGCAACTTTACGGCCGGCCCGGCTGCGCAAAGCTACACGAATTTCGCACGATAATTGCACGACGCGCGTGACGGGCGTCGTTTCTTTCTGAGACTCGAATTATGATATCCTAATATACGACGCGAAGTCGGAGTGCGGATTTCGAAAGAGTCCGCCTCTTTCCACGCAGAGGCCGAGAGTGCGGAGGAGCCGAGAAGAGGCGGATGTTAATTAGCGCGTAATTAGTACGAACGCGTTAATTTGATTTGAGAGAGACTCAACTGGATTGAGAATATCGTCCCGATATATCGCGTCGTGCGTTTGCCAAATTGCGGAAATAGAAAGCGCGTAAGTTCTCCAAGACATTCCCCGTGCTCGAAAGCGATGGGTCGTTAAGCATCGATTGTTCGACAGTTTAATAATATGGCAATATCAATTACACGTGTAGCAATTACGTTGAGTAGAAACGATAAAGAGACTGTAATTTTCTTGGATGTAACGCACTCGTCAAGAGGATGATTTTCGTAAGCTTTTAATCGGTCACTCGAATGTCATCTCGCGTGATTTTCCGCAGATAAACTTTGTCACATTCGAGAGTATTCAAAATATTGTTACAATGTGCGGAGTGTGTTACGCGATAATTTCTCTTTTTGTTCTCACCTGAATCAACTTTTTAAATCTCGATAAGGTTTATCTTACCATCGCGCTCTATGTACACATGTGTACTTAATTCTTGTTTTATTTTATTTAATTTTAATTTACCTTAATTGCTATCTCTCTGATTTGTGCAATCGATCCCTTGCTATGGCAACAGGAATTCTCTCATGCTCATTTTCGCAATTTAATGCATTCATTGTGAGACTTGGGAAAAATGTTCGCATATACACACATCTCAATTCCTATAAGAATCTTCGACTTAAAAGTTTGCAGAAGTAATAATTTATGAAAGTAGGGTTTTATAAAATTCTAGATTCGTGAAACTGCATATTGAGCGGAATCAGAAATTTATGCTATCAAAATTCAGTGAGAAATTCAGTAGCTATCTATCTGTGACTAATGAAATATGAAAGTAATATTCTGGGAAATCAAAAAATCTACAACGTTATCAATCTGCGAATAAACCTACATAAACCGGAAGGAGGAAAATGTGTGTAAACTATAGAAATTTATAGAATAGATACACGGATCTCTCGCGATGCGTACGATATACGTCTTCGACGTGAACACGTGTAAAAGCAAGACGCATACGCTTGTTGCTGGTGCCTATACGTTCCTCCAGCTGGCGCGGTACGACTTTCACCTTTCACCTCGCTCGAGCACGATTCCACTGTTTGACTTTTCGAACTCTTGCTCCACGGATGCAGCATCGACACTCGGAATACATCCAAATGCATCGTATACGAGTGCGAGACCCCTAGGCAGCGCGTCACGACTCAGTTTCACTGAGCAAATTCGTGGCATAAAACTAAGGCGAAGGAAAGCAGCATCCGCGCACGGTGCTCTCCTGCACTTCCTATAGGTACAACGTCGGAGTAATTGAAAGTGACCGTACGATTTCGCGACGCAAGACAAGACAAAGTTTGTTAACTAAAAAAGAAACCGCGCACGTGTACCGAGTATTTCGCAATCTTGCAAACGAGCCGAAATTATCTGTCAAGTGTCATCTGTCAAATGTCAATTATTGACGCGAAAGTTAACTGCCGCAATTATCATAATTTTTATTTTAATACGATAATTATTGTGATTATCTATCGCGTATATACATATGTATATATAAATTGTTATTTCTTTATCGATTAAATTGGCTATTAATTTTTCTATCGTATCTTCATCGATAATTCTATCTATTCTGTTCTACCTATGTATTGTTTTACTTTCTTCCTATATGCTTCAAAAATTTTTATTTTTCATTTCTCACATTTTCATCTGTAATAAATATAACATTGTTTTACGTGAGACTAGGGAAAAATTAAGCGCGCACGCGAACAGAAAAAATTCATATTTAAAACTATACATTTACAATAATTCCGGTCTGTCATATTAATGAAGGTCTATGAAAGGTCGCTTTATTAACGCGGAAGAGAGCAGCAACCTTACAAAATTCATATATGCCCAAAAATATGAGAGATTAAACGCTCATAAAACATACCCATAAATTATCTCAACAAGATGGTCTGGAATTATGAGACGTGTGAGACGAGACAGCGCGATTATGCCGCGTGTAATCCATCCTGACGAAATACGGTGCTAATACCAGCTACCGTACGTGAGAAGAAGCAAACAATAATGGAAACAGCGCCGGCTTCTAACTAAAGAAAGATATTTACTGATTGCGATCGAGATTAAAACAACGAATGCCATTACTCGCACGCTAAATTTTCCACTAAAGCTCTGTCGAAATAATTGCGCGCGATTTCTTTTTCTTTTTCTTTTTCTGCGATTAATTTTGCCAATTACGCCGAGACCTTGGAGATCACTCAGCTGCGGCTGCAACTTGCCAGCAGGACAATTATCTCTACAGTCATCGCTTGCCGAAATAATCCTCGACAGACATTAATCCTCGTCAGATGAATTTCATCCGTTTGCGCGATTCGGGACCTTGGATATCCGCTGGCAATTACAAGCCAATTAGAAAACCGCGGAGTTGTTCCTCGGCAATGTTACTTTCGAAATGGAAACAAGTTGGTTTAAAGGGAAGTCGGTCTATGCTGTTTACGTAGTACTCGCGCATTCCAGCACGCATGCGAGGACCTTGAAGAAGCGTCTAACGCATGTCTAAATATGTGTGTACACATAAATTTTCATAATCGCGTCGTTGTTTTTTCGTCGTTTTACACGTCCACACTGTCCTAGAACACGGAAACCGAGACCTTGAGGAGAAATCACAGCGCGCATCGCTCTCGCTTCTTTACTCACAATAAGTCATCTCGTCTGCACGGTGACGTCAACTGTCAAAAGCTACGATCACGGCCATAGATTTCATAATGATCACTTTCTACTTTCGACGAGGAGACCGGTTCACCGCTCATCATCCTTGGATATATCTTCAATAGATCTACTATCTTCAGAACCATGTGTCAATGACATTTGATCTTCGCAACATGAATCAAAGTTTCGCGGATTATTTTTTTATTGACGAAATTTCGCTTGAAATCGAGAGTTAACGTATCATGATTGCGAAGAAGATAAAAAATTTCAATTATTAATTATACTAAAGGTGAAAAAAAATTTACAGGACGAGGATGAGGCTCGTCGCGGTGATCCTCGTCGCTTTCTCGGGTGCAGCGGTGGGCCAGGATTTCGGCGGTCACGCGCTCTTCGTGCGAACCCCGGACGCGGATTCCGGTAAGAAAAATGGGAAAGGACTCTGCGAGTCCGCTCGGCGGAGGAGAGAGGCGATTAAGTTGTTGCGTTGGTAAATACAAACCTGATCACAAACGAATGGTTTGACATTCATTAGCACGTTCGAGAGTCCAGCGGGCTGCTGCCCCAGCATCTCCGGCAGACGTGATGGCGCAAAATATCCTAGAGTGGATTCAGGGGATCTACCAGCAGGGCACACGTAAAAGTAGGTTTCCGACTTTCAGCCGTCGACGGGAAACGGCGCGATACGCAGCCGTTCCATCGCATTTCAAACGCGCGAGTAACGAGTATTCCTATTTTTTGTCTCCCCACGACGATCGAATTTATAGCAAATCTGACGCTGCGCGCTGATTTATAGACGATTCAGTGCCGCTGATGATCAGAGGGACGTAACTACCACGGACGTAAATTGCGATCCCGTACGCAAAAAGCTGCAACTATGTGCAGCCGACGCCGGCGCACCGATTTAGATATTATAGACGCGTAAAATTATTAATTCATAATTCGCCGCGCTATTAATCAATCATTTTATTGTGACACCTGGACGTCACGGAAATGACTCGTGTTCGCTGCTGGGATTGGCTTTGATGCACGCTTGATCCGACAATAAATTATTTTCACTTACAATGCACTGTCAAGTCAATGCACTCTCAATTAATTAACGAGCACGTAGATTTTATTCTCCTTACCTGTATTCTTAAAAACTGTTTTCGTATTCACAGAGACTGACGAACGCACAAATATTTATAGAAATGAATAAACTTATTCAACAAACTGGTAAAACCAATAATATAACATATTCATAAGTCTTCAATATTATCAACAACATGTGAAAAGTATTGCAATTACATTTTCGGAGAATTTTGAATTAGAATTATTTTCCAATGTTATTTTATTGCAAGATGTCTAAAAAATATTGCAACATTATCCATTTAATTTTGTATTTTATTTAATATTTTTGTTGTTATTGTGTAGCACTGATAAAAAATTATATCGTATAAAAATACGTATATTTTTCTCGTTGAAAAATTACAGCTTTTCAGTCGCAACACTTTTCGCACATGTCGTTGTTATGTCGACGAGAAAGCATCAGTGCATTCTCACCCTCGACGAGCCCGCGTTTTCTTACAGTTCGCCAGCAATCGGATTCAAACGCGTACTTGCCACCCTTCAGTACTCAACGACCGCCTGAGAAACCTCGGCCCTTCCAGCCATCGGGGGTGACGGTCCAGAGGCCGTCGTCTCTCTACACCCCGCCAAATACCGGTGGTTACCCGGGATCCGGACCACCCTACTCTACCCCGAGACCGAGCTTTCCCAGCAGCCAGCAACCTTCGTCAACGTATGTGCCGCAGAGTTTCAGCGGCTCCACATCCTACAACCCTCGACCAAGTCAACCCTCGTACTCTAACGCGGGTTCGTCGGCCTTCCCGCCATTAAACTCGCCAGAATCGTCAAGCACCTACCTTCCACCGCAACCGCCGTCCTTCCCATCGACCAGTTCAAGACCACCTCTGTCCGGGTCCACTGGCGGCAATGGATATCCGAGTACTGCGGGAGGATACTCGCCCGGAACCGCTGGAACATTACAACCGCCAGTTACAGGGGGTTACTCGACACCAGGTGGCTTCTCCACGTCATATGGCTACCCGTCGGAACAGCCTACGCCAGGTTTTCCCACCCCGGGCGAAAGTGGATATCCCAGTCCGGGTTATCCCTCCACAGGCGAGGGATCCACGGGATATGCACCTTCCACCCCTGGAGGACCGTTCCCTCCCTTTACTACGCCAGGTGAGGTTGTCACTAGTGAACCAGGAGTTCCTGGAGAAACTGTTGGACCAGGCACTTCCACAGAAACTATTGCAGGTACGTTCTCCACTCTCTACTAGAGTTATATATATAATATATAGACATTTGCATATAAAAGAATGTAATTTGATTTTATCGTCAAGCCACCGACGACGATCTCAATCATCCCCCGCATATTCATAGTCTTGACGTTGAGTGCAGTAAAACCATGATGACGATCAATATCGAATTCAACCGCGCTTTCGACGGCCTTATTTATTCCAAGGTAAACATCGAACCACCGGAACATATCTTTTGTACCGAATCTCATCGATAAAATAATCTATCGACTCTGCCTCGAATTTCAGGGATTTTATATGAACCCGGAATGCAGGTACGTAGAACAAAACTCGGGCCAAACGCAATATTCTTTCACCGTGAATTTAGACTCGTGCGGAACTCAATTCATCAATGACTTCGAAGGTGAAGCCGGTCAAGCTTACTTGGAAAATGTTCTTGTATTACAGGTAATTGCCGCACGTGCGAACCAACTAAATTAATTTCTTCCTCAATTTCTAGATTTAACTTGGAAAGAAAAAAAATGTTCCTTCGTGTAAAAAATATTTCTTTGCTTCAGAACGAACCGGGTATACAAGAAGTCTGGGACACGGTGCGAAGAGTACGATGCCTCTGGGAAGGGAACATTAATAAAGCCCTAACAGTAAATTTCTCAGTAGACATGTTAAACCAGGAAATCGTTACCTTTAGTGGTGATACTGCTACAGCCAAACTGGATATTCAAATGGGTCGAGGACCCTTCGCAACTGCAGCCGATGGATTAGTAAAGATCGGAGAGCCGATGACCTTAGTCGTCTCCGTGGAAGGCGATCCTGGCTTCGATCTGCAGGTACTAAAAAAAATTAACAAAGCAAGATAAATATAATTAATCAGTGCACAAACAATAATTATGAATTGATAATTATTTTTCGATTCATTCTATAAGATTGTTAAGATGACAAAATTTTGAGATAATTTCTCCTTTGATCGCAAATAAGAAATATGGATTAAAAGTTCATATTTTTTAATTATATATCATTATTTTTGAAGGTGCGCGATTGTGTGGCACGAGACGAAGCTTCAACCAACATGCTGCAGCTCACCGACGAAAGGGGCTGCATCTTGAAACCAAAACTGTTTGGTGCTTTCCAAAAGACAAACGATACCGGAAATACAGGAGCTTCTATCATTGCTTACGCGTTCTTCCAAGCTTTTAAATTCCCTGACGTTATGGACTTATTTATCGAATGCAATGTCGAGCTATGCAAAACGGATTGCGAGCCCTGCCCAGAAACAGATCAAGTAAGACGTACACAAATAATTATATTATATTATCCATATCTCTCATTTGTTAGCATTAATTTTTATACAAAATCAAATGTTTCAAAATCTAAAATATTAACGACATATAATTCCAAAAATTTCACATTATTTGAATGTATTATTTTGTGACAAATTAATCTGGCATTTTTACGTGGTTCATATTTATATGCAAAACAATTTGTTTTAGCAAATCGAACCAGGTAGACGTCGTCGATCAGTAACATACGCACCTACGAACACTTCGACGAATCCGGTTTTGCTATCAGATCCGGTCCGTATCGGACGTCGTTTCAAAGTAATCATGCTAGATGATTTAAGCACAGCTTCCAACCGGATCTTGGAAAGCATGGAGGAAACAGCGGTCGAGACGATGATAAAAGCGAAAGATGTTTGTATGAGCAACAATGGTTTTTACACAACTTTTTCTCTTATGTTAAGCACGCTCTTCGTCGCGACCATAAGTGCGGCTGTGCTCTACATCAAATTGCAACGGATTCGTAGAACAAAATTCGTGGATTCGTAGGAGGATATTATTTACAACATCTCTAGTTACTATTGTAACAACGTTAGGAAAGGAGTTGCATAGCAAATGACAAACGCGTGCCAGTAATTAAATAATGCTTAAGCAGTAAGAACATTATCCTTCATCGCTTCGTAATCATTTTTCCTGCGAGGGAAATGCGAAGGAATTGATAGAGAAACGCCGAAGAAAAATGTATACACATCAAAACGGAACAATTGTTATTACAATTATGATAAATTAGAACGGCAATTTTGTTAAATTCATTATTTTCGTATATGTATAAATTAATTTTGATAGAACACACGTTAATTTTTTTGCCGGAACATGATAAATTCATTCTTCTACTCGACAGGGGTACAGCCATATTTTACATATCAATTTATGAATATAATCTAACAAACTACTCGTACAGTCCTCGGATGGCGGTAGTGCTCATTTCGCGTAATATTGAATACCGATACGATATGGTATTTATTGCATACTTCGATATTAGCAATGTAGATTTTAAGAACTTAAAATAAATTATGATATTTGTAAAAAAGAGCTATCTCGTAACGATTATTCCCTTTTACCTACGACCTACACAATTACTATCTCTTAATTCCTAAAGATGGAATAAAAATATATGGATAAGGATATTATATATTTCTAAGGAATATATTAATTGCAAGGAATATATTATATTAATTGCAAGTAATATATTATAATTGCAATTTTTATGATACATAATATTTTATAAATCTAAATAATATTATATGGTATGCCTATATTTTATATGATACCTATAACAAACATATAAACATGATTCAAGTAAATGCAATGCGTCGCATTTTCAGCGTACTTAATTTATCGCCACAGAAATTAATTGGGTGTATAAACGCATATCACCGATGAAATGTATTTCATCGATGGATTATAATCTATTCCCTGTACAATATTAAAAGTATAAAAGACACTGTCCTAATATCTGTTATATCTCTAACATAATGTTAACTTATTTTTTACCTAACTTTACAAAAACGTAAAATATATAAGTACTCTCCTCTTATTTTTCTTTCGCGAATAATTTTACCAGACATACCTAATTTGTTAAAAACACTTAGGATGTATTCAGGATCATTTTCTTTAATAACGACTAAATAAAATAAGCCTACATCTGATAAGATTTTGGGAATCATAGTAAATATCTGTTCCATAACTTGCCTACCATTTTTACCACCTGCCCAAGTCTTAAATACACATCTATTGTCTAACACTTCTTTATATTCTGTAACTACATATGGTGGATTAAATAAAATAACATCATACGTATATCTAACATGTATACAATCTAACAAATTCATGTGAAGAACATCTATATCAACAGAATTAACCAGACTAGTTCTTTTCGTGGCTCTGCATGCATCAGGATTTATATCAATTGCAATAAAATGAGCATTTTGATATTTTTTCAATGCCATTGCTAGAGCTGTTATAACTACACCAGAACCACTACCTATTTCTAAACAAATCACAGGTTTCATCGCATGCAGAACCTCTAAATCTGCTTCCAAAGCATCTATTAAAAGATACGAATCCTCAGAGGGATCGTAAACTGTCTTGAGTTCTTCAGCTGATAAATTAACTATCGGAGTTTCCATAATTTGATAAAAATTGTAAGAAATTTTCAGAAATAAAATTTGAAAAGAGTATAGTCAATGTTAAGTAATAATGTGAATAAAATATTAATAATATAATTAATTACGTTGAAAATTACTGTTGTTTATCAGCTTCCACATTGACTGATTCTTCCTTATTTGGTTCAACGGTACTACTATACGCAGAACTATTATCTAAGAGTGTCTTTCTCTTGGCGGTGCTCTTTTCCACAGCTTGATGTACTTTGTTCAATCGCTCTTGAGTGGTTTGCAAAATGTTGCTGACAATGGTAATTTTGTGCTTAGCGTTGATGAGTTTCTTCACATAAGAATCAGTTTCTAGCGGATATTGTAATGCTTCATTAATTTTCTGAAGTTCCTCCGTCAAAGATTCAATCTGCTGCTTCAACTCTATTTGGCATATTCTATAATAAAAAGGATAGTTAGTTTTGTGTAAAAATAATATACTTCTCGTTATTTTTTGTGTGCAACAACTTATAATTTAAAATAAAAGTAAAAACACAATCATTTTACAACATTCTATTAATTGTACACGCAAATTGAAGGTGAATTTTAAAATACTCAGAAATTCCTGTGAAATAAATAACAATAAAATGTATTTTGTGTACATGTAAACATAAATGTAGGAAATCAATATTTTCATTGACACAATTTAATGAACATGTGTTTTACGATTAAATACCACGTCTCGTGAAAGAAATGTGAGAACAATAAACAAACAGAACTAAAATTTACAAAAAGAAAGACGAAAACTAGAATAAAAAATTTGTCATTCGTACATGCGCGCTGCAACGAAAAACTTGTCACTCATCACTTGCCTTGTAGCTCGAATTCTGTCATCCAACTGATCCACCGTAGGTTTCAAGAGACTCATAAGACCCTCCGTTAACGCATCCCGCGTAGGATTCTCGCAAAAATCGTCTATCTTGTCGTCGATAGATGTATTGTCACTTGCTGTGTCTACGTCCATGTTGAAGGTTCTAACGCTGAAGTGAAATGGAGGAAAAAGAGGGGGAAAACGAGAGGCAGCACAGCGACTTGAGTTTGATATATTAGCGTTCTCAGTTTAATATAATAATCGAAATAATGCTCTCGTTTCATCAAACAAAATATCACAATTATAAACACAGTACACATATCACAAACACACACGCACACCAATTAATAAATTAAGTAATTTATTCCCGGATAGATAACTCAAGCGATTCATATATAGCGCCGTATTACGTTGAAGAAACTTCAGGGTGCGTTCGTAATAGGCCTCTTAAGGCGTAATCACACTACGAGTTAACAACCTGTAGTGTGATTACGCCTTAAGGTTCACTATTGTACGTTTAAATGAAAATACGTTTACACGTATAATTGACATATTTGTATAGAAATTGACATATTAGTTGCTTAAGTAGATAAATATCACTTCTGTCTTTCTTCAACATCCATGTTAAAAAAAAGACAAAAATGAGATTTATCTGAGTTTTGATGGAGATAGACAGCAACTATTGACATGCCATGTTTTATTTAATATCTAATACATGAATCACAAGTTGGCCATATCATAAAGCAAAAAAATGTAAAAATATTCAAAAAACATTTATAATAAACGGATGTGCTAAATATATACGTATATAATTATAAACATATACCTTTAAACGTATAATCATTTAAACGCATAATAGACCCTTAAAATACGCGTACAGAAAAAACGTTTATACTACACGAATATATACTAATTATACGTGTAAACGTATTTTTGTTTAAAGAGATCCTTCAGCAAATGACGAACTCCGACAAAATATATAGCAGCATATCTAAAGCACACATATCCAAAACATTTGCACACATACGTAAAAATCATATTTCTAATTACAAATATTAGATTTCTAATCTGGATTTAGAGACTAACAGTACTTTCTTTTGTGTCCTCTAATCCCAGCCCAGTAAGCAAAAAATCATTGCTACAACGTTATTTTTGTTGGCAAGTATATAGTTTTTAACATTGTATGCAACATCATTTAACAAACTTTGACATCGGTTTAAAGGTTTCGGTAATGTTGAAATTAACGTTTTTAAAATATTTTATTAATATTTTGAGCAATATATGTTATTAAATAATATTTATAAAACATTTATAAAACATCAGTTAAAATATTTTTTTAGAATATTTATTAATAATATTTTTAACATATATTTATATATATATAAAACATTATATCATAACGTTTAGAAAATTGATATAAAATCAACATTATAAAATGTTGATTAAATATTTCTTGCTTACTGGGAGGGAATGTGCATTTTTATTCATACAAAGTGCATATATGTTTTATATAAATAAAGCACATATGATGAGGTTGACAGTTCGTTTCCAATTCGAGATATGTCATATCCCTAACATAACTACGTATCTCGGGGACGTTTGGGGAGCATCCTGAAGACATCCTGAGGATATTCGGATGTCCTCTGGATGTCTTTCGGATGTGTTGTGGTGTTAGGGATTGAGATCAAAATAGATAAGAAAAACTATTATTTCTCTCTCTTATTACATATAGTTAATTGTTTCACATTATATCATGTCACATTTTAAGATCAGAAATTAAGTTTCTATATAAAAAGTTGTGTTTTAGCACTTGATAAGGGCCGAAACCCATGGCCGAAACGTCGTGAATATTAAATAAAGATTATTAAATAGCCAGAGTTGGTTGATTAAATTACTACCATTTCTATTATTTCTCATTTTTCATATCAAATCGAGTTTTCCTGCGATTATTGATGCATGTATTGCAATCGTAGAAAAGCATTTTTAATTCCATCAAATTAAAAAAAAAAATGTATACTAGAAGTACGATTGTGTCGTTGATACAGACAGTCACGAAGAATCCCCTTAAACGTAGCGAGCCTAGTTCGTAATCCGTCCGTCGAAGTGCAGAATTCGACCGACCAATTGGAGACCGAGGATTCCTTCGTCCTGATTGGTCAATTGACCGCTTCGCCCCGAGTGAATACATTTCCGAACACAATCTAGATAGAATGCTGCCCTCTGGTACATCTTCGCATTATTCGTGATCAAAACGTTCCCGCGTATTGTCGGTCCGCGAAAGTACCAGAGTAAATATTAATTGGTGTCTTCACGTCGTTAATTATCGCATAAACTGATCGCGTCGCGCGTAACGACATCGTGATCGCGATCGAACGTGCGAGATTGATCTGGTCGGCCGCGAAGCTCGCATTTAATCTCACTCTCGCGTTCGTCCCTCCGAAAGATCGTGTCGTGAAGTTAGCTACTCCGACTCGAGACGCCGAAAGTTTCGCGCACGCGAGTTTACGAAGGCGGATCGCGAGAAATCCGAGCATCCTCGTGTCGAAGTATCGTTACACAACAAATTAGGCTCATAACTTGCATTTTTCGACGTCTCCTGAGTACATCGCGGGAGGTTGGGGGCGGGTGTAGATGAGGTGGTTAGGGTGTGGGGGAAGAGGGAGGCAATTTGTCCCATAAGGCCCTCCGATAAGTGGCCTTAAAAAAACGTAATTCGACGCGAAAACGGAGCATCGGTCGCGCGCGAATAAGCTCTCGCGATTTACTGAAACACGTCGAAAATGTGATATTTTAGATAAAACCGGAACATCGCCGCGAACGAAAAAAAATAACGCGAGTGCAAGTGCTTCTACGAGGAGGCCCTGGGTGGCATCGGGCAACGACGGACCAACTATATGGTAAATAATTTATTATTTATAAATTTATTATTTATTTTATTATATTTTATTTATTTACTATTCTTTATTTAATTTTAATTAAATATACTCATATTTGCAGGGTACATTTTTTGTGCATTTTATTTTATAAGTACAATATATAGAGTACAATATATAATATTTGCTTGTTTTATTTTTACGTAAAAGAATAAGGAGGAACGGATGAAAAAAGAGAGGAAGAAAAAAGCCCGGAATGGCAAAAAATAATTGTATAAATATCTGTTTTAGATGCTGCTGTAGTCCTGATATTGCTGCTTTGCTGTTGTTGCAAAATGATATACCAACGACATGATATACAACGACTAGTGAGTCAAATAATAGAGGTTTTCTTTTTGTAATAATTGATTATTATATGACTTGTCTGTATACATTTATATATATATATATATATATATATATATATATACATTTGTCTGTATAAATTTTTATCATATTTTCTTGTACCAGAGCATAATATTTATTTTAAATTTTACTTTGTTAGTAATAAATGCAAAATGTATATAAAATTTTGCAAATAATTAAAAATCTACATACATAATATATATATTTTTTTGATTTTTCAGAAAATAATTTATGTGATTTATTTTTATGTACATGTTAATATAGATTTTATAAAATAATTTTTATCAAATGTTATTTTTATATAAAATATCATTCATTATTTATTATGAATTTCTATGCATTAACAAGTCATGTAATTAATCAGATTTTTACAATATTATATTGTATAATAGTATTATTGTTTTGTGCGAAGAAAAATAAAAGGCCAGAAAACTATATCAAAAAATACATTGAAAAAGGAGAAACTAGTTGTTTGATAAGTTTGAATTTTTGCGGGTTTAGCTAAAGAGGCTTTTATAGCATGACCAGCGACATTTGATATTCGATTATTCTTGCTGTTTGAGTGAACATTTCTGTAATTAATGGCATTATAATCCGACAATACATCGAAATCTTCAGAATCCATATCGATGAATTTACGATGTTTTATTGATTTCCTATATAATATATAAATTATTGTTGTATTTACTGATTTAAATGTAAAAATTGAAATTTTTCTACACTTTTTATAAAATACATTATTACTTTTTCCATCTTTTCGCGCTTTCCATTTCGGGAGAACTCCAAGATTCAGTTTCGGTACATTGACCAGTATGACAATCACATTTTAATGCCAAGCTTTTTAATAATGTGACGGAACGCGGATCATTGCCAGTAATTATTGGCGACTCGGTCGTCGATGAATCTTCTTCGAGTTCTTCGTCAGCATCCATTTCTGAACTTTTTTCAGGGTACCAAAGATTCCTAAATAAAAAAATATTTGCATTTGTTGTTTATTAAAAAAGAGGAATTTTTATCGATAAAATATAGAATATTTCGACATCTATTTTTAAATATTTGATATTTATATATTTACATTGAATTTAATAAATAGTTTGCAAAATAGTTTCAATGTTTTCAGAGCTAACGATAAGTAAGTAAGCATTTATTCCAGCTTCCCTCAGGGCTGCTGGGGCTTTTCAAAGCTATTTTCAAGATTTTTAAAATTTTTTCTAATGTTAATATTGTGTGTATTGATAGAGATTATTTGCTAACATAAATTATATATACATATGTATTGCATCGATAAAATAAAGTTTACTGGACAGCTATTCCAGTAAATAATCATTTTTAACAGCAATACAATTTAATTTGTAATAATAAATTATTTAAAAATAGGTAATATTATACATATATATAGCCCTATATTTAAAAATATAATTATATTTTTATAAATAAATAGAAAATTTATGTTTTTATACGATTATTTACTGGAAAATTTATTTTAGAAATTACAGTTTTTGCCACATCCTATTTTACTATGTATTCGGACATTTACTATATATTCGGACTAACTTTTTCTCTTCACTGCATTCCGTTGGTGATTTCATATTTGTAGGACATTTTAATTCATTCCTTATGGGCACTTTTCTATTCTATTATTTAAAATTAATATATTTGAGAAATACGTACGTTAATAAGATAAAAAATATTTTATTTTATAATAAATACATATGTATCAATAAAATTTTACCGAATAAATATGAGATTCTTCATATCCAGATGAAAAAAATTAGGCTTTATGCGCGGAATTTTACTAGCCTTATTTTGTGAAATATACAATGCATCTTTAACAATTTTACTAGAATTTTCTACGTTGTGTGAATTTCCTGTTCCTTGAGATTCACTAGTAACTACGTTTATACAATTTTTATCATTTTCTGCTATTTCTGACGGCTTTTGAATGTTTCTCGAATGCGCTAAATTCTTCTAAATATTGCATAAATTAGTGCAAAGTTAGTAAATTTTATTGAAAGAGAAAAATTTATTAAAACAAACTTGATGAAGATTAAGCGGTGTTCCGCAATTCGCAAGAACAGCATCACTCTTTTCTTTTCCAAAATTTTGAGTATCTTGAATAATTTCCGCGATAGGTATTAATTCCTTTTTCTCGAGGACATTGGACATTTGCTGTGGATGATTCTTCAAAACCTTTTTCAATTGTGTCTTTGATTTAAAAACAATGTTTCTTTTTTTAGTAGTTACATTTACTTTTCCGTGAGTATAAAGAGTTTTTTTCTTGGTCTGCGCCAATAATTCATTGCTAGAATCTGACCAACTCTGGTTTTGTGAATTATTATCAATTTTCGAGGAAATATCGGGCTGACTAATAGCTGCCTCATAATCGTAAGATATAACCGTGGCCTTTGGATTCGATTTATTTTTCGTAGCAATTATAGCGTCAATCGGTTCTTTGTTAATTGCATTTTCGCGTGTACTGCGACGCGACAGCGGATTCATCGTGTCTCCAGCATGACTGATGCTATAACTAAAATCAATCATTTATTCTTTTTAGTATCTACTAATTTTTATTTTTATTTATACATTATTTTCAATTTAATAAAAATTAAAATATACACACAATAAAGCTATACATTATAAAAAATTAAAATTTGTATTAACATCAAAATTATTAAAAATTTTGAGATTATTTTATAGATATATTATAGTGATACCTCGAAGATATTGCGAGAGCATTAATGATAAGAAAGAAAATATAATTCATTGTTTTACTCACATTTCTATTTTCAATTAAAAAGTAAGAAATTTTTTTACATTTACTAATTCTTACTTAGAAGTGACGGATTTGCAACTATTAGACTGCACTTGACTTTTAGATAACTTGCGTATTTTAAGTTTAGCCAGGAATTTTAATATCGCTTCAGATCGCCTTCGCTTGATTTTGTAGGAATAATCGCGACACGCGACATTTACGCATTCCGCCTCTTTGTCCTGTTTTTTCTCATTTGCTTTATACGTTTGCAAAAGCGGCGACACTAAACGATTCAATTTATATCGAAGTTGCGGATGCTGCGATTTTCGTGAACTGGCCAGTATCTCATGCGAATTCGCTCACATTTTTTTTAAATACTCTCACAAATTCCTTCGTCCTATTAACCATTTCTTTCTGATGCGTCATTGAAATCAATAAAACTATTAATCATACGTTTCGATACTAACTCGATTATCGAACGACCTTTTTATTCATATAATTTCTGACTAATTACCTTGACATATGATTTTTTGATTGATGATGATTAGTATGAAGTATGCAAAATGTGTACTAAACATTTACCAGTATCCAGTATCACAATTTCATATACATGTAACGATGATTAATTGATTACCTTATTGTAATAATTTTAATACTAATACTAATACTTGTACCTATATGCCCTAGATATAAGATTATAAAAGATAACATTCATAGGAATGCATAAATTTTATACGTATTTATACTCGAAAATATTTGATTTAAAAATCGTAAAACTTATATAAAATTACTTACAATTAGTAGTATTATTATTAAAAACAAATCGTTATCTAAGAATAGGTTTACGTAAAAGTATACGGAAAACGAATCGTGCGATCTTTTCATAAGCCAGAAACATCAAAGCGGCTGTGAGGACAGTCTGCAAAAGTTTAGCTTCCATTCCTTTGTATAATCCAGCTATCCCTTGCTTCCTGCGTACAAAAATCACGCACTCGTTACGTAACGCTCTTACAGATTATATATAATAATAACATATATAAATAATATATTTTTCATATAAATAAATTTTCACTTACTTCAAAATGTAGAATAATATTTGCAACGTGCCTGCATTTGGAGGCAAGTTAGGATACTTGTGTCCATGCTGAAATTATAATATTCATTAGTCTTTCTTAGTTTATTTTATTTAATGCAAACAAATGAAGAATATCATTAATATATTATCGATACCCTCAACTTCATTTGCACAAGCTGCAAAGGATATGTTAATGACGTGGCAATCGTTTTCGCTATCGCACCGATAGCAAAAAAAGCCCATGCCGGTGGCTGAGCACCACCGAGAGATACATTAAGTCTTCTTTTAATACTCTCATATGTCATAAATTGGATCGCGGGATTCGCGACGAGCATGAGACTCGGCAATGTTCCCGCCCATAACTGTTTTAAACCTTCATACTTCCATATATGCATGAGACCGTCTGTAAAAAGTGATGATGTAAGAGAGCAATCTAATGATTTATACATATACATAATATATATAAAAATAATATACATATATATATAAAAATAATAATATATATATAAATAGTAGCAATTCTACATGACTAATATGATAATAATCTATTGCGCAGAATATATAATTATAAAAGTCCCAAAAATTGATAAATGATATTTACTACAGACGCCAGAAATTTATTCCCTCTTGATAATAAATTATTTGTTTTCCACTGAATATGTTTATTTTTAACGTCTGATCTATGTTTATTTTTAACGTCTGATCTATGTTTATTTTTAATACCTGATCTTTATGTCATTTTTATTTAGTATGTATAAATGCAAAATAAATGTGCGGATTTGTACAATAATTACAGCTAAAAATAAGAATACAAATAAAAACTAAAAATAAAATTCATAAAAAATTATAAACTCATTTAACTATTTTACATAACAGTCGATTTCTGTATTTGATTTCTTGCGTCTTGAATTTGTGAATTAACAAGATTTATTTGCCCTCAATAATGCAATATCACGCTACTTATTGAATGTCGTAAGTGCATTTAAGTGGCAGCGCAAACATTCACAACATGTAGTGACGCTTATTTCCATGAATGCATGTATTGGCAATGCATACATAAAATATATACGTCAGTATATATACATATATGAAGCATTAATGTTGTTTGAGATGCAAATAAAGAATGAAGTATCTTGTCAATGTTTAAAAAAATATAGAAAGTAATGACAAATAAATGTGACATACATATTTAAATGTGTATTCACGTATTTTCGTATGAAATATATCTACCATATAGAGTCGTATATTCATTATTATTTCTTTCTGCAGTAATTTCGACGCCTCTCATCTTCAATCTTGTATTTACAACCCACAGAGGGGTTGTTGTGAGAACATTGATTACACCTGGAAATTAATATATATAGATTTTGAAAATTTAAAGTTTTTTTTAACAATATTACACATAACAAGAACAGCAATTTTAGTTCAAATTTACTTTTCCTTTATACTCTGTTTTCATTTTTCTTTTTTAATTTTTCAATTTTCTAATATAATTAATTATAGATATTATGATTTAACATTTAATATTATTAATTTTATTATTTGTATACAAATCTTCAAATAAATTTTTTTTATAAATTAAATATATTTCCGATAAATTCAGAAATATTGTTATTATTTTTGCTTTATTTTAATTAGTTTATTTATTCTTGCATACAACTTGAGATCGTTTAATTTACTTATTTGCTAAAAAAATATGTTACTGTACAAAACATGATTGCAATTTTAAACAAAAATCTTTATAAATGATTGAAATTATACCAGCGATCGACGCAATAAGCAAGTCGCTGCCAACCGTTTGGTTTCTTCTGCTTCTTAATTCTTTTAAGCCGTGGAATGTGTAGAAATAAACAAAATTACTCGCGCATAAGCTTTGCAGAACGGGCACCATACCTCTGTATAAGGTATACCTTAAAAATGAATGACAATTAAATTATTTCAATCATTCGTGTATGTTTCGAAACAATGACAATAACAAAACTATGATAATAAACGATGACAATAATTTTTCTCATCTAGCTTATGTAGCTTATCTCTATTTTAAACATTAGTCAAAATTGATTCTTGGACAATTGTTTATGACATCTATTCCTCGAAGCAAGATACGTGAATCTATTCACAAAAATCATATTTGCTAATACGTACGGTCCTTCTTTCGCAATAAGTTCTCGTATGGTTGCCAACGTATTTTTCGATTGCCGTCCCTCTTCCACTGTAAATAGAAAAGAATAAAATAGAATTCTTAATAAGATTACTATTTATGCAAATCAAAGCAGTCACAGATATAGAAGCTAAATATAATATTTAAATGAAACTTGCATGATATGCAAAAAGTACTATTTTTTACAAAAATTTCTTGCGCAGTTTTATGCTTCTTTTTTCCTTATGTTGTTATAAAATTTATTACAATTATTATAAATTATTATTAAATTATTGTCATTATCATATTTCAAATGTTTATATAGATATAAAATATATATACTACAAAAAGATATATTATATGTTATATTTATAATCTTATTTTTATTATATTTGAAATAATAAAAATATTTTGAAACGTTTTATGACATAAAAAATAATTATAATAATTCAAATCCAATATATATATATATATATATATATATATATATTTATATATATATGTATATATACATTTTCTCATTCTGTGTGTATGTATATTCTATCTGTTAGCATTTAAAAAATCAAATTATTTTTACATTTCCAAGTTTAATAAGGTAAATCCTGTCAAGCAAGATGATATACAAATAAACATAAAACGTTTGCATTAATAAAAAACAAACTTATACGCAAATAATAAATGAATATTCACAATTAATTGTGATAACGCAATTAAAAATGCTGCAAGCATTAATGGTAACAAAGTCACATGAGAATAACAGACTATTGTCTGAGAGTGACATCGCGTTTAATGAAATCGAAAGCTTGTTGCCGTTTCATTTCAATACACATTATAGAGGAAACGAGTAAAAAATTGGTTTGTCATATATGTATTGTATATCAATTCGATAGATACAAATATGGATTACATTGTAAACGACTTCGGACGGTATCTAGAGGGTAGAAGGCTGCCATCGCGATGACACTACCCTGAAATGTCAAAATGTCAAAATTACTTACCACGTAGAGATACACGAACAAAATATCGTGCAAAATACAATATACCCACCGCTGCACCAGATATCGCGTGTACAAACGTGTCATATGTAAAGATGCTTCTGTTGTGTTCGCCAACCATTTTAACAAAGTTTCAAACGCGAGTTACGTCGTCAATTATAATATAAACTTGGCGATTCACTCGCTATTTCAAGGAGCTGTTACACATATCGCGAATAATACGATATAAATCGCATTGTAACACATTACAAAATATTTCGGTCGATGATATTTTTGAAACATTTTTCTATAATATACAATCTGTGATCATCCTGAAAAAAATTGATAAAACAGAAGATATTAAAAGAAAATTTTCTGAAAATTGAATACTTAATCTTTCAAATCAAGAGTTCATTTCTGAGATTTTTTTATCTTTTTGTAACGTATTGAAATCATTTAGCTGATATTGTTTAAATTTAAAATATAAAATGCTAATATATAATTTTCATTTAGATATTTCAACTTCGTGCGCGCGTAAAAGATTTATTTAGTTCTTTATACATTGCTTTTTATGAAAAAATTCAACTAAAAAAATTATAGAAAACAATTCAATATTTTTAATTATCTGAATTTAATTTATTTAAATCTTTAATTTATTTATGATAAAATCAAAAACAGAATAAGACTCATTTTTATTTTCAAATAAAAGATAAGGAAAATATAACAAATCTAAACATATCAATTTACTTACATTGTTTAGAAATATTCTCGTTCTAGTAATCACTCAATTTCATAGATTTGGCACAAAGTAAAATTATTCAAAGATGTACTGCTGCAGTTTTATACCTATATTTGCATTGATTTCATACTCAACTTTCACTATTGCACTTACTTTAAGTTTTGTAATTTTTGTGTTAAATCAGCTGCGGCAAATCGCGTAATATGCCGGCGAGCGTTTATCTATCACGGCTGCTTACTGCATGACGAACGCACTGACACTGCCGTGAGTGTGAATTCCGAGCGAGAACTTATATAAGAGGAAGGCCATGACACACAATGGCCTTCACTACCACGACTAACGCGCGATCGTCAGTGAATTGCTTTAATAATTACGTGTGTTATCTGGGTTCAGAGAACGCTTCACGAAATATTATTATTCCGCCGTTTTAATAAACTTTGTATCGTTATCTCTTCCGTTAATCCGCGTTCAACTGCACTCAAGAAATTGCTGATGTATTTTGACGGACAGACATACAGCTGACACGCTTGCGCTCTTAAAGCGCGTATCTAAAAGCAAAGAGGTCGATGTAGGGAACAGTACGCATGCGCATAAGCAAGAGGGTGATTGCTGGTGGTCAGAGTAGATAACATCCCCTTGCGCTTTTAAAGGCAAAAAAAAAAGATCAAATGCGATTTTAAAAATTTAAAATATACATACATTGTTTTTTTTTAACACCACGCTCCTTTTATATTTTTAATCTATTTTTTGTGATTTCGTGGAATTTACAAATGTACAATGGAAAAATCTTTTTGATACATAATTTTATAAAAAAAATGCAATGTGAAAATTTTGAAAAGCAAAAATTGCGCAAGAAAACGTGAAAATTTTAATTTTAATTTTATGTAATTTATATTTTATAAAAAAGTTATCTGTTTCTGAATTTATCGGAAATATATTTAATTTATAAAAAAATTTATTTGAAGATTGTATACAAATAATAAAATTAATAATATTAAATGTTAAATCATAATATCTATAATTAATTATATTAGAAATTGAAGGGAATTTCTCAAAATTGTTAAAAAAAAGTACAAAATATGTACATGTATAATATACGATTTGAAATATAATAATTCATGTCTTAGAAATTTCTTTACATATATTTATGATGCCAATATAGTTCCATATCATTTGTATTATTTAATTTCTAAGGAAAATGTTTTATATTAATTGAACTAGATTGTTAATCATTTCAATAAGAAACTAATTGTTAATTAATATGTATGATCCTGAATAGAATATATTCTTCTGTTATTATATTTTCAACAAAAAAATCTCCCCATAAAACGATTGCATATAAATTATCAAAGTGAGATATTATTATTTCATGTTTGAGCAAAAAATTTATTTCTAATTCTAATTCTAGTTTTTTCCATCGAGGCATTCTTTTAAAAAACCAACAGGCACTACGCAAATTAAATAAAATTTTAAAACCAATAACATCTCAATAGTATGTTGCGAAAGTGTAAATTTTACGTATAGATATCTCTCTTGTGTCGCATAGTGTTCGGAATATTCTCCAAGTTCTCGTCAGAGTTTAATTAAACATTCCACAACTGTGGTATGCGTATGTTGTGCAATCGCGCCCTTCTCCCAAATGCAAACCGCGGTGGGTTTTTTAAACATCCTATGATTCATACATCTTTGACAAAATGTAAATTTTAAATCACAGAGGTTGAAACATCTTTAATTTTTCACCGAGAATCTCCTACGGGAAATATATCCTCATTAAAATTGCAAAATTATAATAGATTGCTCTTCTTCATCTAAAATCTAGAAAATATTAATCTTGAAAATATATAATTTGAGAATATAATTTTAATGTCTCACAAATATTGCAAAATAGTTGCAGTTTATGAAATAGTAAAATATTATTATCTTGAATGAAATCATAAGATGTAAAGTATATTAATATCGAAAATTTCTGTTAAAGTTTTGAAGAAGTAAATAATTATAAAATTACTTATATACAACAAAGTTAGTCTATGTTATTAAATATTTCATCAAGTTAAAAGAAGATCTTACATACTTAGACGCCCTATTTTTAACACAGTTATCTCGAGTGTACTATTTCTGTGCGTCGCTGCTTTCAATTGAACAACGAAAACTCATTCACGTCTCTTTTTGGTCTAGTTTTATTGAACTCTTGCGCTTGTGTTAGCTTTCAGATAGTAAAACGGTTTTCTAGCGCTTTTAATCTCAACGAATAATCGATGATTCTGTCTTATTGAAAACGCCAAAGAATGCATATAAACGCAATGACCAATATTTATTACAAAAATGCATCTTCTGATCTAAAATATTAATCGTATTAATTTTTTATATATTTATATATTTAATCATTTTTTTGCGTTTTCGTGTATTTCAAATTCATAATTTTGTATTTTGAAACTTTGTAAACCACGATTTTAGGAGGAAATAAAACGCAAAAATTTGGAAATAGAAATTATGCGATTTGATTGTGAAAATGCTGATTTAATTATAAAATACTTATATTTTCAAAAGCATTTTTTCAATATTTTTATAAGAGGAGTACATTGCAATAATTTTGAAAAATTAAACATACAATTATGAAACACATTAAATTGTGTGATGCTGTTTTATTATTTCAATTATAAAATCACGATCACGTGTTTCTGCTAAAAATATCATAATGCGCGGTGGTTTTCCGAAAATTTAATGAATGCATAAGTTCGTATCGTTTTCATCTCGTTATAATGATTATATCTATTCTGCTATATCGAAACAGAATTAATAACTGAGAAAATTCGATTAAAGAGTTATCGATCAAACCAATAAGATAGAATTGCCGGAAGCGATAATCGACAAGTCATAACCCGCAGAGATAATGATGAAAATCTGGTTTAAATATAATTCTCGGTCAAGGTGATTAGAACCAGCGTTTAATCATTAAATCCATGTCCCGTTTTGTAAACTGATCCCAATGCATATATTTTAGCATCGATTTTCTTTGAAGACTGGATATAAGTATCTCAAAAAATCGTAAAAAGGCATGGAGAAAATGTTATTTATTTAATACAAAAAGGCGAGTGTATTCGCACATGTTCGCGACTATAATCACTTTTTTTCTTATTTTTACCGATTGCAGTAACGCAGCTTTGGGTTTGCTTTCGGTTGTAATCAATTTACGGGCCGTCTAATTGGTCAAATCGTCAATTGTACCTTAGAGAATTAACTATAACCGAGTTTATGGAAAGAGAACAGATGTTTATCCATATCTCGGATACTCACAAATCTATATATGCCTATAACGTCCCAATGCATCTATCGAATGAGTCATATACAGGAAAAATGTATTCTTTTTAAACATGATGAAAACATTTCACACATACATGCGCGCACACATACACACACAATTTCAACAAATTCATATTCATTAAATACTTGGTTTTCGCTCAGCGGAAAAATATGCCTGCTCTTTCTTCAATAATTTGATTGAGAAAAAAAACAAAAGTTACATGTTAGCTTTTTTCATATATAATTAGTTTCTCTATTGTTGTTAAAATCGAATATAAATTTTTCATATTTGAGTTTTGTATTCTTTTATTCTGATTATACTTAAATTATTATATGTAAAAGATTAAATTGTATATCTTTCAAATGCATACGCAATTAATGGAAGAAAAATGTTCACACATTTACCTATCACATATTAACAAGTTTAAGACGTATAGAAAAGGAAGTCGAAATATAATAGAAATATCGATTGATTTTGTATGCATGTTTCATTAGCAATGCGATCTCGCTAATCGAAGATGACGAATAATACACGAGATATACCTTAAACGTAGTACAGTGTAATACATTGTAGGGCTATTTATCTTTAACGAAAATCTGCTAAATGCATACGGAAGAACTTAACGGAAGGAAGAACGATCAAATATTCATTCCTTTTATCGAGCGCTATTAATAAAATTAATAACGTTCTAGATCTCATGTGGAAGTGTAAACGTTCTCCTTCGCGTGTCGGAACTCGAATAAGGCTACGATGGGCGCAGTTAACCAATTCGATAGAAAGCTTTTTTCATCACGTTTTTCGCAATCTCATTCGACATAACGCTGACAATTCTCGATCTTGTACTATCGTCGATCCATCGTAAAGATTTTCTCGAGAATTCGCTAAAAATTTGTTCTAATAGGAAGAGTATGTCCGCACTCTCTTTCTCTCTCTCTCTTTCTCTCTCTCTCTCTCGCTCAATCATCTCATTGTTATCGGAGAACCTTCCGATCAAATGTCAAACGATCTTATCCTCCTTAATCGAGGTATCGATTTCCCGTTTAGCGTTTGATCGACGACGATTAATTAATGTAGCAGCTTACCTTTCAATCTCTCTCTTATTTCTCTCGCTCGATCACATCTTAAGTTAATTATACATGTTACCTTCGGGACATTATGCTAAAGCTATATTCCGTTAATTAATTAAGGCGAGTAGCGTGGTCGGTTTAAATATGATTTTCCCTTGGCGATCTTCGTTCGCGAGTATTCGCTTCGCGTTATCTGCGTATCACTACAGTGAGGTCTGATAATTGTAAACCTGAAAGTTTCGATCGCATATATGAAGTTTCTATTAACACAAATTTAATTATCACTATTTTTCTCAACTTGCAACAAGTATCGGAGAAGGATCAATATTTATTAAAACTTAAAAATAATAAAATCGCTAATTACATATATACAGTTAAATTAAAATAAACAGAGATAGCACCTCGGACACAATTATAATAGGCAAGAGTATAAAGTTTATATAAATAGAGAGTAATACTCGTTTCCAAAGATCGCTTTTAAACGCGTTATCATATTTGTCATATCTCTAGAAATTTGTTCGCGCGCGTGACAACAGTTTGAAATATCACTGTATCGTGCAGGCCTTCCTGGACTCTATTCTTCCTGTTCTAAGCGTGATCCTGGATCCCGGTGTATTGTTCTCGTTCGCGGCCGCGAGCGAGCACGTTTTCGTCCGCATGATCATTAAGTCCGTCCTTATGCTGGGACGTCGCACGTTCGGCGCCACGACGCCGCAAGCGTCGCTCAGCCGACGTTTTATGCTGAGAGTGGCTTTGTGCCGCGGCTGGAAATAAAAGCGTCACTCTTTGAGGCTCTTCAGCCGCCCCTCGATATCATGAAAGGTAATCCTCGTTTAATCGATCGCGATACGACTCCGAAAAGACAACAGATCCGTATCGGTTCGCGCTTCGTCGCTTTTAATCGGATTTTTTGCGAACCTTTTTCAATCAATTTCAAGTGTTTGATTAATTTTCGGCTATTTAATTATGATGTAACAAACTTGTTTTTTTTTGTTTTTCTAAATGACACATCGAGCATTGTTAATTACCTGTGACGGCGGTAACATAGTCGGCGAGCCAAAGGTAAGCGGTACTTTTCTGTGATGATTCGGAGCCATCTCCAAAGGTAGACCTGCCACTACGAATAACTGATAAAATAGTTCGTCCACGTGATAGTTTCGCTTCGCGGATGCCTCCACAAAGATACAGCATTCATCTTGACTTACGCAATATTGCTCGGCCTCCTCTACCGTGACCGTTCTGTAACGTGAACAAGAAATTCGTCAAAATAATTATATGATTCAAAATCTGCAATGATGAATCGATATAATTATTCATACAAATCAAAGTTAAGTACAGGGAAGAGAGAACGTACTTTACATCTTTATCACATTTATTCCCCACGATGACCATAGGGACCTTTAGACTGTAGTGGCTCCTCCTGCTCTTCGTGGCACTTTGAGTCGCGCTCACTTTAGTCTCGAGGATCGCCTCCCTCAGCCTGATGGCTTCCTCGAAGGACTCCCGACAGTCCATACTGAACACCACGACGAAGAGGTCCCCTGCGAAATCGGTTATCGTGTCTGAGCTGGTCGATTTTTCGAGCGCAGCGTTTACTCGCTCACATATTTATTCTTAAAATATTAAATTTTATTGAATATTTATATTTATATTATATACATAAATAAGACTTGAATGATCTTTTGAGCTTATGAAAAGCGGATACGTTAACGATGTTTCATGATATTGCATGACTTTAAACTTTCGAGCCCCGTTTCTTTCGAGTCTCTATTATGTGCGACATCGAGTGCAATTATTTCGAGCGAAACGAAAGTCGCTGTATGCTGTTGCATATGCACTAATTATAACGGTCACGCGAGTCACATGTGGAACACGCGTGTGTTACGGATTATGAATATTTATCCTGACTGATTTATTTCTACAGCGACAAGGTGTGGTCTCTTACCCCCCGTCCTCCTATGCCTATTTATAAATCGACCCTAACGATGGTAGTGTGGCGTGTAACGATTCCGGGTCTCGTGTTTACGAAGCGCACTGTTTCCTCTTGTTTCCGACAAAAATGTCCGCGTCGTGGACAAAAGGGCAAGTAGGATCAACTGGCTGCTCTTGTGTAGGAACAAAAAGCTCGTCCGATGGGGAAGCTCGACGAACCGTATAGAACATAAGCTTGGTAATAATGTTGCTTTGCCAACACGTATAGTCCCACTTGGTTTTATTATCGCATATTCTCTCGCTAAAAGATATACCGCTAAGTATCTTATATAATAATGATGTTGTCGTTAATCGTGTATGTTAGTAGAATGAAGTATGAAAAGAATTCAGCATTTTCTTGTGTTTTACTATCAAGAATTTACCATGATTTTATTATGTAAATTTAATGATTATAATTAAATTAACAGTTATGCGTTAATTAGCCTTCGTTATTAATTAAATTACTCTTTTATTTATATTTTTTTATTTCTTATTAATTTTAGAAAATGCAACTAACTTGACATATTAAATGAGTAAATACTTTTCCAATTATTGATTTCATGTCATGATAGAAAGGTATGTGTCAGTCTTGAATTCTGCTCATGTGAGTGAGAAAATAAAATTTTTCTGTCGAGATAAATCCGAAATATAATTGAGTTACGGTTGTATACATATCACTACTACATGATAAAAATGAATTTAATTTTGTGAGATATCTTTACCTTTATCTTCAAACTCTTACTACATATAACAAGATTTATTTTTCTCGCAAATACAATTGTTAAACTACAAAGCTGATCCATTTATTCAATTGACCAAATAATTCATTTATTCGTGCTTCCTTCTATTATCGCTAGGTCGAGAAAGGTTGAGAAGCTTTTTAGATTCAGCCTTCATAATTCGAAAATCCTACTGGTTCATATGCCATATATGGAGCATCGCGAAACATTTTACTCCCGCGAAACGCGCCAAGCTGGTCTGATATTGTCCTCGTACCGCAAGATGAAAATATATGTATGTCAGCTATTATGCGGTAAAGTTCGTGTCTTTAGTGTCGAAAGGAATTCTCTCTTCTCGCAACAGCCGGAACCTCGTCTGAAGGCTCATTGTCTTCGAATCGGGGTCATATCGCGTCCCTCTTTGTTTAGGCATATTTCGAAGGATTCGCGGATCGCGAATACCTTTTTTACTTTCTATCTTCAGTCTGCAAGTGATCGCATTTGTGAAAGAAATGACTGATCGTACATGAAATTATTATAGCCGAACTATTTTGATTGCACTGACACACAACGTTATTATATTTGTGTATAATTTTATATATTAATTATTATTAATATATCAAGAGATGATTTGTGCAATTATATATGTATAATTAATATTCGAAAACAAATAATTCTTGAATTCTTGAATTGTTCATAGAATGCGCGAATTGTCATCGACACGCACATAATCATATTAATTGCACGAAATATTTTCGGCAATCAACCGAGAGGTTTATGAATTATTAAAGATCTCCGTGAAGTTGTGAGAAAAATGCGAACGCGGGAAAACGTAGAATCGTGACTCTTTGCCGAATGCGTGGAATTTCTAGCGGTATGAGCGTCGTGCGGAATACAAAACTAAAAACGCCACGATGAAATTCCCATCAACGGTGGCTCTCTTGATTTCCGCACGCACGAACGGCAATTTAAAAATTCTTCGGATTTACGTGTCTAATTTTGCCGTGAGCTTTTATGTGAGGTCATCTTTACTGGCGACATGCGACGATACATGACCGTTTTACAGGCGCATGTAGAACAAATTCGCGAGAGACGAATATCGGTTCCTGTCCAGTGCAATTTGTACATCTCTGCTCAAAAAAAAGGAAAAAAAACAGTTTGGGATATTTAGGTCTCAGGGGCAAACTGTTGATGCTATCGAAAATTTTAAATTGTGTAAATTTTGAAGAACGTTATCTCTCTTTGTATAATTATACACGATATATACGTGGAATATTTTTATATAAAAGTATTTTAAAGTATATATTAATTACTTATTAGACGACTAAATATATCACGAAACTTATTATTACTTTATTTACTCGGTCCAATTATTTTACTGCGCGTTCTCAATCTGAATTATATTTATAGATCATCGAAAAATCAAACGATAAAACCGATTGACCGAAATATATTTGACTGTTAGGATTACTGAAATATTTTACGTGCTATTCGTACACATACGCAGGATATTAAATTATATAAGCATTTTAAATAATAGACGCGGGCTAATAATTACTAATTATAATAACTATGCAGAATGATTGCACTTTGCTTGATAATGTGATAATATATGAAGTTTTTACCTTCTCGCTCGAGTCTCACTGTGTGAATAACGACAAGGCTGTGGAAAATCGCGCAGAATACGTTTTATACCCCCATCAGCGTGTATAAAATATTTCGGCAATTTTATCAACGAATTTTATCAAAAACAAAGTAAGAATTCGTCCTGGGTTTTGTCTAGCGCGCTATTGTTAACATACCACAGTTTTGTTTATCATTCACACCGACATTTGAACAGAAAAATAGTGGGAGCTCTCTTGACTTTTCGATTATTTAAATATTTATTTAACCCAATTATTTAATATTATATTTAAATATACATATATAATTCGGATTAAGAACGCGCAGATCGAGAACACAACCGAATCGCAGAATTCAGTAAATAAAAGTAAAGATAAGTTCCTTAATTCATTAATCATCCAATAAATAATATTAATCTCTATACTTAAAAATACTTGTATAATTTAATATTCTATATAGAATCAAAGAAATATATTGGATAAAATATTAATCGTTAAAAGTAAAGCGAATATTGCTATAATATAACAATCAATACAGAATAGCAATATAATAAAAATCATTTAACAAACATAAAATAAATATAAATATAAAATTAATATAAATAACATAATATATATTAATAGTTATGCAATTTTTAAATACAAATTCTCTTTTTAATGTTTTCATGAACTATATGTCATGCTCCTGTAACTTGCCATTGTCTTGCCAAGTAGGGTCGTTTTGGGAATTATACGCTATGCATAGATCGCAACTTAGATTATGTTTTGCGCTGGTCGACGTGACGTTTGCATGTATGTACGTCCGAGCGTAAATATGTATTTTCAGTTCGGCCCGTCTTCTATCTTGACAAGCGCGATGCTGATGCAATTGTTGCACGTCCAGCATAGGCCGATATCAGGTTATCAGGTGCAGGTGGCAACGTGACGTGACGCGAGGGACAAGGGAGATCTACGTACAAAATCAGTAGAACACAAACGGCCTCGTGTACCGTAGGGACAAAGCTAGCAGATGGCAAAGAAAAGGGACGAAACTGAGTTATCGAGCGAACGCACCCTCCGTATACGTATTCCCTCGCATTTTCGCGAATACGAGAGAGATCCTTCGATACTATCAGCCACTTATCACCGTCTTCACCCTCGTTCCTCGAATTCCTTGAATATTCTATTTTCGTTTAATATATCAAATATGTGATATGACGAAATTTGGAGATTGGCGCTATATTGAATCGCCATGTCTTTCTAATGTACAAATAGAATACAGTCTATTGTACAATATTTAGAAATTTACGTGCATGTATACTTTATAGAAAGTTAATTAATCAAACAAGTGTATTTGAAAAACTCATCAGAAAAATAGCCTATAGTTTAATATTATTATAACTAGAAGAAAAGTAAAAAAATATATAATACAAAAATGATAAAAATTATAATTTAATATATTTCTCTCTTGATTTCTATATTGATCTCTCCATTATTCAATGTTTTAATAAAAAAAATGCCTTCAATGCAAACAAGCGAGAAATAAAAATGATTAATTGTAACTGGTTTTTATATTTGTAAATATTTGGTTTTACTTATAATTGTAAAGTTTTATCATTGTCAGAAATTGCATTTTCATTGTAACATATGAGCCCCGGTTTTACTAGATTAATCGAAATCCATGCAATATTCTGCGTGTAACTTTATATTTGGAGCTAAATTCCGGTAACAGCCGACATTACCCCAGGCAGCCTTCCTCGAACTTTTCCCATGTGCATGGCGTAGCAAACTGTCGTTGCCAGGGATATGAGTTTTCGCAAAAGTCGAGAAACTTGCGAGGCGCGAGTTTGACGATAAAAACAGTCGATGCGTTTTTTCGTAAGATCAGTATAATTATGTGAATCTGACACCAGACTTTAAAAAATTAATTTTTTAATACAGAAAATGATAGCATTTCCTACTTTTTCCAGGTGATTCAGACTCGTTTGTAGTTTTTTATAACAAATTGCAATCAAAATTTATAATGATGAAAAAAGTAGATTTGAAAAATTTACAAAAATCACTTTAGACAAATGTGTTTTTCTTTACAATTGCAATTTCTAAATCGTGCAACTACATACGAAACGAAAATAATTACAAACAGCTGCAAACAATTCTAAAAAAGACTGCTCAAGCGAATTTGAGATATCTCAATGCCGAGTGCGAGTCATTTTTTAAATTTTTTATTTGATAAAACTTCAAAAATTAAATTATTATTTTAAACAGCTACAAACGATGTTATCATTTTCCGTATTAAAAATTTTTTAAAGTCTTGTGCTAGGTTTATATAGTTGATCAGTATAATTCTAGGTATCTTTTTGCTATATTTCGCGGGAAAAAAATTTCGTCGAAAATCGTGTTGATATCAAAATTCAATGATATCAACATTAAAAAATATTAAATTAATCAGAAGTGTTAATCTTTAGACGAATTTTGCCATATGTATCATAACCGCATTTGCAAGTTTAAAGCGTTTTAAAAGATTTACGAAACTACATTCACAGCAAAAAAGCGGTCTAGAGGTCTTTATGGTTGATTTTTTTATCTACCACTATCTGGCGTATGCTCATACAAAATGCATCGCGATGCATTTGCACGTTGCTCGCTAACGTGCAATTTTTTATCCTCTCGTATACAAGAGTTAAATACCCATTAATTTTTCCCGAGCCATTAAATAAAAGCTAAACGTCATTGTTTGGTATTGGATTTTAATTTATCTATGGATAGAAATATACTCTCGAAAACTTTACGACATTTCCTTGAAACGAAGTAGAACATTCCTCTGGGGAGGTAAGTCGAATACTTACCCGTCAGAAAGGACAATCGTCGCATCGCCGGAAACGGATGGTTTCCGCTTGTATCCAGCAGATCAAGCTGGTGAATCTCGCCTCTGATCCTGTAGAGTTTCCGGTGAAAATCCTCTATCGTCGGCGTGTAACTTTCCTCGAATTTGTTGGACAGAAATCTAAAACGTGAACGGATTTTATCCGCACGGACTCTTTGTTATTCCGGAAGAAAAAAGAAATCCCTATGTTTTTTTAATCCTTGTCTCTCTTATATGATAATTATCTTTTGAATTTCAAATTTAAATTCAATTTGTGTTTCTGTGTGTATAAAATATCTTTCTTTTAAATAATCAATTAACAAAACAGTGTTTCGTAGTTTTATAATATTCTCTGTATCTTGAATATTACAAAAATTAAAAGGCTTTTCTCTACATTTAATTAAATCTATATAATATGTATTTGCGAAGCAGATGCAAATTGAATTTCACGGAACATTTAAAAACAAAGGATTAGATGCGTAATACTGAATATTTAAAGAGTCTATCTTGCTTTTTGAAATAAACTCGTTAGCGATTGTTATCTATGCGTACATGTGGAAAATACGCTTAGCATTTAATACATAACAATTGCTAATTGTAAAAGCACATAATTGCAATCAATTTATGGGATAGTCGACATAAACAAGCAAAACTGTACATATTCTACATTTTGCGAGAAAAGAATTACAAGTACCGTTTTTGTAAAAACTCGAAATCACACACTCTCTGATTTTGTTCCTCAATAAGAAAAGGTATATAATTAGCTAACAATTTCAACAGGCCGAGTTCTAGTCTAAAAGAATTACGCTTTGTTCCTAGGAACACATGGTGACCTCGGTTTTTCAATATCCTATCGCGTGGTGGCAGTGGTCATGTAACACAATAGCAAACACAATAATGCGGCACGTAGCGGTCGACAGCATGGTTCAAAGATTAATTGAATCACATTGTTTCGTGCTATTAGTAATCGATCTGCGAATGGGAGCACGACGAACAGAATTTAGAAGTAACCCAACGGAACGTATACAGAATGGTAGCAAAAATGTAAAATTCGCGTAATACAACGTAAACGAATATCGGGAGTCGATCAATTTTTATTTTAATAGAAAAAAGGTCTGTAAATAAGATTTAAAGATAAATGAATAATACATTTTTTCATTTAATATTAAATATTTGTAAAAATATGAGCGAGAGAGAACGAGAAGGTATAGAGAAGGGAAAAAGCTCTCTTGTTTCAAAGTTGTTTAACCTCGGTTCGTGAATTTTACGCATTTACCGTGCTACAATGGCGGTCTTTCCAACACGAGCACTGCCAAGCATAACGAGGCGGTAGCAGTTACGCGGTGGCGGCTTGCAGGCGTCCTCCTGCGACGAGGTGGATGCGGGACTCGGGCTGACGGGCATAGCGAGCATTCCATCCTCCGGGCCCGAGGGACCCTGACCCTCCACCAGCTCCGGCTCCGCTTTCCCTCCTCGACGACCGCGAGCGTTGAGCCGATGCTCGGCGGGCTCGTCGGCTGCACTTCTGCTTCTGCAGAGCCTCTGCACGCAGCACAGAAGTCGGCCGCACGCCTCCAGCTGCGGAGAAAATGGAAATTTCACCTTTAGTGAATATGCGATGTTAACCCTTAACTCCTTGTACTCTCCTCTCTCGGGACATTGTGTGCATCGTGTTGAATTTCTCAAAGTTCTCATATGATTTAATCAAGCCAAATGAGACGAAAATTGTTACGGAAACAACTTGTATTTCATGTAATAGAGCGCTACGTCAAAAATATGATATTGCACGGCATTGTCATTTTATATTTCTCTAAATGCATTTTTAAAGATACATTTTTAGATTGAAATATGTTGTTTTGTTTCGTAAAAGCACAAAATTGACAACTAACAATATTATTAAAAAAATATCTCAATCATAAAAGAGTTAGTTTATACACATTTCTGGTTTTCAATATAAATGTTGATTTTGATATAATTTCCGATTGTTTACGTTTTATATAAAACTTTAATAATGTACAAATCTCGTTAACGCGAGACATCAATTTTCAAAAAGTTCATTGAGTTTTGAAAATGTTTGTGATTTAATAAAATAATTGTTTGTGAATTTAATAAAACATTACATAGTTTTTGCACAATAATGACGAACGTTGTTTCCAATAGTCTTAAGCTTGTTTTTTTCAATAAAGGAGAAAGAACAATCAATGTCCAGACATGCAGACGATATCGTATCCCGAAGGAATTGCGAAGCGCAGAAAGAATAGGATATTCGAGATCCAAGCATGAATGCACGGGGCACGAACTCCGATTGGATTTTCTTGGATTGATTCGTGGCAGAAGACTTTGGCAAAAGTACTTTTATTAAAGTGCCAGGGAAAATAAAGTGCAGGTTGAACACTTTAGATACGTTTTAGTGCCTTCGCGCGAGTCCTCTTGAATATTTTTCTTGCTTTCCGTTGATATTAGAATATTCGAAGTTGTTCATACAATTATAATGCTGGAAAAAATTTATTTTTTCGTGAAATCAAAACAGTATAATATGTTCATGTGACATAGTGTATATTTTTTTTCGATGATTTCTATAATTAAACAATTTTTAATAAATTGTTGGTGAATGCTGCAATCTTGGTGACCATTAGGTATATAGTTTTTAAAGTTTAACGAGTATACTTGTTATATTGGCGAAAAAGTTTATTGGAGATGTACTGAATAAATACGAAGAACTTTGTATAATAGCATAGATGCTATGGAAATCGAAGAGTTAAGATTTTTTAAATCTGTCCAGGAATATCTTAAGATAAATTTAAAATAATACCTAACATATCCTATACTCATATATATATTAAACGTAAGAGACAAGTACCGTATAATTTACATAATCGAAAAAGATTTGTGTATTATTTATTATAAAAACTATTATAAAAATAATATTATACTATAAAGTACGAAGATAAGTGCAGATATTTCAAAAAATGTTTAAAGTTAATAATTATTATTTGAAAAAATTTTACTAAAATGTTTATTTCTTAAATCTTACATAGTTTTTAAATATTGAGTCTTCAAATACTTATTAGAAAAATAATATTAGAATTCATTTTTATCAGGTGCAAAAATTTACGTCTTTTGAATACTAATATCTTTCGAATGCTAGTATCGAGAAAGAGAGAGAGAGAGAGAAAGAGAGACTTTATTTGCGCACTAAGAAGGACTCTATGATAAACGATAACATTCTTCTTCATGTTCGTCTTCGGAAAGTTTATTCTCGCGACTTGGATATTCGCAGATGCGACTCAGTTGCAGAAACTGGCAGGATAATAGAACGCGTTATACCTTTACCATAACGCTGCGCATTTCTAACTTGAACGTGTTGAATAGAGGACTAATGATTGCAATGAAGCAAGTTCTGTGAATATCGCTTAACACCGCTTTACGCACGATAGTTAAGAAGACCTATTAGGAGAGACAAAGACAGATATTATTTTATAAATAATTTTTATTATGCGATCATAGCGACGCTACTTGAGTTATTTTATTTAATTGTAACATTTCTTTTCAACACACACAGAGAAAGAGAGATCAAACTTTACGATTCTATTAAAACTTAACTTTTTTTTATTAAACTTATAAAAAAGCAATACACATCGACATAATATTTAACAAATAATTCTTCATTTAAAAACTTAAAGAAATAAATTCTTCATTTTTAATATCGCGAATATCCTCGATTTCTTTTGATTTTTATAAGAACTGTAAACATTTTTTATATTAATAATCATCAAATATAAATTAATGTAAATTTTTCTTAAAACTTGAATAAATAGAAGAAAATTAGAGTAGAGCGATACAGATTGTTGATCGAGGATCCTCGCGGACGCGTTTCTTTGAAAAATACATGAAGTAAACTTGATGCTCTCATCGTCGTTGCTCGGCAAATTTACCTCTGGACAAAGCAGCGCACCGCTGCTCGCGTACCTAGGTTTCGAGGCGGTACCAGAGGTGAAGTTTTATATAAATATTTAAATAGAACACCTGATGCCCACCGTGTAGGTCGCAATTATTAAAGCTCCTATTAAAACACATCGCACGTATATTGCTTTCTCCCATTCTTCTCTTTCTTTCTTCAGGATTGTGGTGAATCTATTTTATATGTAATTGAACACGTTCCATCTTCGCTACGTTACACACGACGACAATTACAGTACGATTCACTCTGACACATTCGTTTAGTGGTTTAACAAAGGGCAACATAAATCGCGCGGCGAGTAGCGAGGAGAGAGCAAGTTCATTTCGTTCTTTATTTCGAACGAGATTCGGGAGACTATTCGTGGAACATTTCGGTCGTTAACGCGTCCTGCAGCTTTTAAAACCCTCGAGCAAGATCGCAATTACTGACCGCAATTGTTTCAGTGTCGAGGACTATTATTACGTCTAGGCTGGTCTATTTCTGTTCTACAACTGTAAAAATGAAAAGTTACATATTTTCCCTTCTTTTCCGTCGTATTATAACTATAAACATATAGAAAACGAAATACGGGAAAAGCTCTTGCATACGTTAGCCGGATCGTTTCTAACGTCATATTTTATCTCCCCGCAAGTGTGGCGAGCGTTATTCGTCTCAGTAGTATCGACGTTTTCTACACTTCCATTCGCGTATCTGTTCCCGTGGAGCAAATATCTCTCGAAATAAAAGTCGAACGTGTCCCTGTTACTATTTTTAGGATTTATAAACGCTTTCAGCAAAGTCGGTTAACTTTAATCTCGCATCTACTACATTTTTATTTCCTTTTCTTGAATTAGATATAATAAGAAAGAAGGATTTATTCTTTGCTCTTTTTTTCTTCCTTTGAATATTTCTGTAAAGAGGCAATTGTTAAAATGAGGGCTAAATCTTTTACCATGCACATTAAACAATTCTTGATTCTTTTTAAATAGTAAAACAACTTTTCGCGCAAGCATTTTTTATATTGTATAATACATTTTCCTTTTTAGAAAAGAACATAGAGAAGTATTTCTATTAACTCTGTTCTGAGATAATTTTATTCTATACTCCTTTTTGTAGAGGCAAAGGACAGAGGTTAACCGATGCTCGCGAATTGACATGTTGAGATATTACGTGAATATCGCGAGATGATTAACCCGAGATGACAATCATCGATTTTTATTTTAATTCCCGGATCTGTTCCGAAGACAAGGACAATTCCAGAGCAGAGTAGTAACGTTCTACTTACAGTTTAGCTATGAATACTCTCTACGAATGATAATAAGCAGTCTTCGATGGTGGGGAAGGAGTGCAAACTAAATTAAACTACGGAGACTGTGTAAATGCAGATGTTAAAGCTCGTCCCTATCTCTTATCTTATCCAATACCTTCGCGAAGAAATGACGGATAATCGATCGAAAATGTACAGAGATTCGAGATTTAATCGCACGATGTATCTCTCATGTATATTTTTAGCAATGACATTAGAAACTTACAAGCTGAAGAATTTGCCAGTGAGGCATGTAAATTTTCTATTGCACCTCCTCTTTAAAAGAGATTAAATTATAGATAACTGAACGTTGTTAGCCGTGTAGATCTTTATCTCTATTTAACGATTGCATCAAACGAAAAAAAAAACTGGATTTTTATACGATTAATGAAATTTTACGTACCTAAAAAGTTTGTTACGCTCGCAAAGCTTAAACCCTCCGGCTCGTTACACTCTATTGTGTCGTTCCAATGTCGTGATATAGAACAACGTGAAAAGAATGAGCGACAAATATCTACGCGCGTGTGTGCTATTGATTTTACGATTGCGCGCCACGACAAGCTCTCATCGACACGCGAGGGTTTGAGGAACATTGATCTCTTAACGCCGGCAATCCGTCGCACAGGCACTCTGATACAAACGAACAACAAGATATATCGGTCGTGTCCGGATAGTGTCGGCAACATCAGCAATCGGATTATCATGGACGTTGTTCGATCATCCTCGACGTGGTATATCGAACAAAGTTCCGAGTGTATCGCAAAGCGTTATCCTCTTGATGCTACGTAGCTTAATCGTACTAAGCGGATTCGTCCGTCAACGTACGTTAAGCATCCGCGTACGTGTTTAACGATTCACAATGACATAATATTTTCTGGGCAAGCGAGATCGGCAGTGGCCGATGTTTGCGTAGGATGTTCGTATAGCTTCAACAAAACTTACAACAATATGCTATTAACGTGCGATCGACAGTTTCTAAAAGCGCTCGATTACGCGATAATGTAATGTTTTGTTTACCGTGGGTGTAGTACACATAATATGCGATAAATTTTCGGAATGGAAATTCTCTTTGCTTTATATTATATATTATATATTATATGTGTATTGAGAGTTTGTTTGTGATAGTTTATTTGCGTATAAAGCACTTGTGCATCACCTGTATGCGTCATGCGTTTTGTTGCCAGATATATCATCTAGTAATATTTCATATTTAACTACTGTATTTTATTTGATTAATAGATTATTATGGACGATAATATATTTCATTTATTCGTTAATCGTCGCACCATATTTCATTTTCGCTCGATTTCGCACGCGATTAAAAACTTC